GGACTGAACCAGCCCCCCTCCCCCTTATCTTCTGGACACCTGGCTGGACCAGGGAAGATAAACATGTAACATCTTTTATGGGGGGGGGGGGGCTAACGGTGCTAGTCTTTTGAGCCTAACCATAAATCTTAAGGCGCCACAGTTAATTAACTACACAGCCTGTTATGAGAGTCTGTCTAAGAGAAGAAAAAAAAATGTATAAAAAGCCTTGGTATTGTAAGTTCGGGGCCGCTTATGAAAAAAGCAACCCAGCATATGCTGAATAAATGCCTCTTGCATTGTTGCAGCGGACTCTCTTTCTCATGGTCTTAGCAAAGCGAGTCACTCCGGCGGGCGTAGGATTTGTGCCTAGGGCACGGGTCTTACAGATTCGGGGCTCGTCCAGGATTTGACTCACTCTCCCTGGGACCAGAGACTAGAGAACGGAGGATCACATGAGTAGGTACCGCGGTTGTCTGTGTCTTGTCCCTTTGCTGTCTGCTGCGTGTTGTCTGTTGTCATTTGGTTACGGTGGTTCAAAGAAGTAAGCGCCGGTCTGATTTTAGATTTTCTGGGGTTCTGTAGGAGAGCCGTCTGTAGTGGCCAAGTGGCTAGGCAGACGTGCTGGCACGCGGCAGCCACAGGAGTTCTGGAGGACACTCCCAATTCCTCTGTAGGAGACTGAGTCTCCTTCCAAGTTTTCTGATAATCTGGTGTTAGCAGCGCTCGTGGCAGGGGCGCATTGGTGTTTTGTTTCTTGTCTGTCTGGTTGTGTGTGTGTGGGGGGGACTGACGAGTTTCTGCGGGGACATGGGGCAAACAGTCTCAACCCCTCTGAGTCTGACTTTGAAACACTGGACTGATGTGAAATCCAGAGCTGATGGTCTGTCTGTGCCAATTAAAAAGAATAAATGGGTAACACTTTGTTCTGAGGAGTGGCCGGCTTTTCAACTCGGATGGCCTGCTGATGGCACCTCCTCTCTGCCACTGATCACGGCAGTGAAAAGGAAAATTTTCAATTCTGAACATCTCACAGAACAAACATTTTATATTATTGTCTGGGAAGACTTAGTCACGGATCCTCCTTCCTGGGTCCGTCCCTTTGTTCCTTTAACAGGTCCAGCGGCTGTGTTTACTCTCCAAGGAGCAAAAAGGAAACCGGAGATATTGCCGTCCACTGACCCGGACTGGCTTCTTTCTGACCCTCCTCCCCAGCCTCCTCCTTTCAGATCGCAGGCAGCCCAACCATCTGCTCCACCGGATGAGGGCCCACCAGAGACTGAACCAGAGGGGGGGCCTGCTCAAGGGACACGCAGTAAACAAGTAGCCCCTCCAGATGCTGTTCCTATTTTCCCCCTGTGGGCTTATGGCCCCCCTGATGAAGAAGGCAATCAGCCCTTACAGTATTGGCCTTTCTCTTCCTGTGATCTTTACAATTGGAAATTTCAGAATCCCCCTTTCTCTGAAAACCCCCAAGGTCTCATTAACCTTGTAGAATCTCTCCTCTTTACTCATCAGCCCACCTGGGATGATTGCCAGCAGCTTCTACAGGTCCTGTTCACCACAGAGGAGAGACAACGAATCCTCCTTGAGGCTCGAAAGAATGTGCCAGGGGCTGACGGGCGACCTACTCTCCTTCCTGATGTCATAGATGCAGGGTTCCCGTTGATCAGACCCACCTGGGACTTTAATTTGGCTGAAGGTAGGGAGCACCTAAAAGTCTATCGCCAGGCTCTAATGGCAGGTCTCAGAGGGGCAGCAAAATGCCCCACTAATTTGACTAAGGTGAGAGAAATAACTCAGGGGTCCGATGAGTCTCCATCAGCATTTCTAGAAAGACTCATGGAGGCATTCCGTCGGTTTACCCCATATGACCCTGGTAGTGAAGAGCATAAGGCAACAGTGACGGTTGCCTTTATTGATCAGTCTAGCAGAGACATCAGAAAGAAGCTGCAAAAGCTCGAAGGGTTGCAAGATAAGTCATTAAGAGAATTAGTGCAGGTAGCTGAAAAGGTTTATCATAACAGAGAGTCAGAAGAAGCTAAAGAAATAAAGAGAGAAAAGCGCCAAAAGAAAAATTTTCAGAGACTTCTGGCCACTGTAGTTAGGGAAACCAGAGAGCCTAATAATATGGTGCCAAGCAATAAGAAGGGACCCGTGGCAAAGGACCAATGTGCTTACTGTAGGGAAAGGGGGCACTGGGTGCAAAACTGCCCTAAGAAAAAGAAAGAGCCTCAAGCCCCCAAAGTCTTGACCTTGCAGGAAGACAGCGATTAGGGGGGATGGGGTTCAGGTCCCCTCCCCGAACCCAGGGTAACTCTTAAAGTGGAGGGGAAGCCTATTCAGTTTGTGGTAGATACAGGAGCTGAAAATTCAGTATTGCTATAAGCAAATGGACCTCTTCTCAAGAAAAAGTCTTGGGTACAAGGGGCTACAGGGAACAAACAGTACCCAAGGACTACCTGAAGAACAGTGGACCTAGGCGTGGGCCAGGTATCCCACTCGTTCATAGTTATTCCTGAATGCCCCTACTCATTGCTGGGAAGAGATCTCCTCACCAAAATGGGTGCACAAATTCATTTTGACCCCAAGGGACCTCGAGTGCTAGACCAGCAAGGAAAGCCTCTCCAGGTATTAACCCTCAGGTTAGAAGATGAATACCAATTGTTTGAAGAGCATGGCCAGGAGACTGGACAGATGGACTGGTGGTTAGAAAACTATCCTCAGGTGTGGGCAGAAACAGCGGGAATAGGAAAAGCTAAAAATCGGCCCCTCGTCCACGTAGAATTAAAGGCTCAAGCCAGCCCTATAGCTGTCCGACAATACCCAATGTCCCGAGAAGCATGTGAGGGCATCCGACCCCACATTGCCCACTTGCTCCAGCTGGGAATCCTACGAAAGTGCCAATCAGCGTAGAACACGCCCTTGCTGCCAGTTCAGAAGCCTGGGACTAATGACTATCAACTGGTCCAAGACCTCCGAGAGGTAAATAAACGCGTGGCCGATCTCCATGCCACCGTCCCTAATCCCTATAATCTTTTGAGTTCTTTACCTCCAGACAGGACCTGGTATTCAGTACTGGATCTTAAGGATGCATTCTTTTGTTTACCGCTGACTGTACAAAGTCAGGATTACTTTGCTTTCGAGTGGAAAGATCCAGAGACTGGCCTAGCGGGGCAACTCACTTGGACACGCCTGCCACAAGGATTCAAAAACTCGCCCACCATCTTCAACGAGGCTCTGCACCAGGACTTGGCGATGTTCTGGGCCTCTAACCCCCAGGTAACTCTGTTACAGTATGTGGATGATCTCCTCCTGGCAGCGGCCAACGAAGAGCTATGTCTAGAAGGAACAAAGCGACTCCTTACAGAGTTGGGAGAACAGGGCTATCGAGCCTCCGCCAAAAAGGCCCAGATCTGCAAGCAACAGGTCAGTTACCTGGGGTACCTTCTTAAAGATGGGAAAAGATGGTTGTCTGAGGCCAGAAAAGAGACAGTATTCCACATCCCGCCACCCTCTAAGCAAAGGCAAGTCAGAGAATTCTTAGGTACTGCTGGGTTTTGCCACCTGTGGATACCTGGTTTTGCTGAGATGGCAGCCCCATTATATCCCCTCACTAAAAACAATCAGCCCTTCAAATGGGGAAAGGAAGAACAACAGGCTTTTGACAATATTAAAACAGCCTTAATGTCTGCACCAGCCTTAGGACTCCCTGACGTAACTAAGCCTTTCCACCTGTATGTGGCAGAAAATAAGGGAATTGCAAAAGGGGTCCTAACTCAGAGACTGGGGCCCTGGAAAAGACCGGTAGCATATCTGTCCAAAAAATTAGACCCAGTAGCCGCAGGGTGGCCAGCCTGTCTGAAAATCGTAGCGGCAGTCGCCATCCTAGTAAAGGATGCTGACAAATTGACTATGGGGCAGAGTTTAGTAATCTCAGCACGGCATGCCTTAGAGAGTGTTGTCCGCCAGCCCCCCGACCGCTGGCTCACAAATGCTCGCATGACTCACTATCAGACTCTGTTACTGAACTCAGACCGGGTTACTTTTGCTCCGCTGGCAAGTTTAAATCCAGCCACACTGCTGCCAGACCCTGACCTCGACCCCCCCATCCATAACTGCCAACAACTGCTTGCTGAGGCACATGGATGGCGGAAAGACTTGTCAGATTAGCCTCTGACGGATGCTGAAGCCACCTCGTTCATGGACAGCAGCAGTTTTCTGGAAGAAGGAGTTCGGAAAGCAGGAGCTGCTATAGTGGACGGCCGGAATCTGTTATGGGCACAGACTTTACCTGCTGGGATGTCTGCCCAGAAGGCAGAACTCATCGCCCTCACAAAAGCCCTTGAACTGGGAGAGGGCAAAAGAATCATCATCTATACGGACAGCAGGTGTGCCTTTGCCACTGCCATGTGCACGGCGCTATCTATCAACAGTGGGGTCTGCTGACCTCAGGAGGAAAGAGATCAAAAACAAAGAAGAGATCGTAGCCCTGCTGGAGGCCCTTCACCAACCACTAAAAGTGAGTATTATACACTGCCCAGGTCACCAGAAAGGGGATTCCCCTGTTGCCAAGGGAAACAACTTGGCCGACTCTGAAGCAAGGGTGGCAGCCAGAAGGCCTATGCCTGTTCTGTTAGTTGACATCCCTAAGTTAGAAAAACCCACATTTAAATACTCTGCTGAGGATGTAGCAGTGATCTCAAGGGACTCTAACAACCACTTTGATCAAGAAAAAGGGCGCTGGTATGCAGCATCAGGCAAGCCTATCTTGCCACAAGAACAAGCACGCATCATGGTTAAACAGATGCATCAATGGACTCATCTGGGATTAGATAAATTAGTCCAGACTGCCCTAAAAACCAAATATCATATGATGGGGCTAAAAAATTAGTAGAACAAATAGTTAAAAGCTGTGTACCTTGTCAAAGAGTGAATGTCTGCAAGAATACAGCGGGCCCTGGTAAAAGACTCAGGGGAGACAGACCAGGGGTATATTGGGAAGTAGACTTTACAGAGATTAAACCGGGCAGATATGGTTACAAGTATCTCCTAGTTTTTATAGACACCTTCTCCGGATGGGTGGAAGCCTTCCCGACGAAACAAGAAACAGCCACAGTCGTGGTCAAGAAGATCCTAGAAGAAATCCTTCCACAGTTCGGGGTGCCCAAGGTAATCGGGTTCGACAATGGACCCACCTTCGTCACCAAGGTGAGTCAGGGAGTGGCCAGACAACTAAGGGTCAATTGGAAATTACGTTGCATTTACAGACCCCAGAGTTCAGGACAGGTAGAAAGGATGAACAGGACTCTAAAAGAGACTCTGGCTAAGTTAACCATAGAGACTGGTGTGGACTGGGTGTTGCTCCTTCCCTTAGCCTTGTTCAGAGTTAGGAACACCCCCTCCCGGTTCAACCTGACCCCCTTTGAGATACTCTATGGTGCCCCCACCCCCTTGACTTTACTGGGGGACGCCTTTGAACCCACTTGCCACAGTAACAGTGACTTATATGCCAGGTTGAAAGGACTTCAAGTAGTACATAAGGAAGTTTGGGTGCAGTTGGCAGCCGCTTATGAGCCCGGGACCCCCAAGGTTTCTCATCAGTTCCAGGTTGGGGACACAGTCTACGTCAGACGACACTGTTCCCAGACCCTGGAGCCTCGCTGGAAAGGACCTTACTTGGTGCTTCTAACAACCCCAACGGCCGTGAAGGTAGACGGAATCTCCGCTTGGGTCCACGCCTCCCACGTGAAACCTGCGCCGCCAGAGGACCAAAGACCAGAGAGCATCACCTGGAGAGTCCAGAGTGCTGCAGAGCACCCCTTAAGACTGAAAATTGTACACACCCTAACTGTTATAAGATGAATACTCTCTTGTTTCCTTTATGTCTAACCATTCTCTTCCAGGGCGCCAAAACTTCCAGCCCACATGCTCCTAAAAGGTTAACTTGGTATGTTATAAATGGGGTAGGGAATACAATCTGGAACTCATCCAAGATCACCGTAGGGACAGGGACATGGTGGCCTGACTTGTACCCTGATGTATGTAAATTAGCTATGGGGGCACCTGCTGACTGGGACCTAGAGGCTTACAGTGACATCTCCAAACCCCCTAACACTCCCAGTCATAAGCGTCTCTATACCAGGCTAAATCCATGGAGAGGTTGCTCCACACCGTTCCAAAGAAGCATGCTACGTGCTCTCACTTTTTATGTATGTCCTGGACCTCACCGTAACAGGGCATTAACTTACAGGTGTGGAGGACAAGCAGATTATTTTTGCAAAAACTGGGGCTGTGAGACCACGGGGGGACGGATATTGGAATCCCTCGTCATCCTGGGACTACATAACGGTAAAGGCTAATTACACCCACCAGGGAATAGGAAATAAAGGGTGGCACAACATCCCTGAGTGTAGCAAGTGGTGCCACCCCCTCAAAGTCTCCTTCAAAGGAAAGCAGGCTATGGGTTGGGACAAAGGATTTACATGGGGGCTAAGATTTTATAAAGAAAAGTATGATGACAGGCTATTGTTCACTATCAGACTTAAGGTGGAGATTCAATACACTGCTGTGGGCCCAAATAGATATTTAGCTCCAGTGAGACCTCCAGTGGCCAAATCGAAGGCTACTCTGGCATACCTAAGTACCCAACCAGAGTCCATAGCCCTCACTAAGAGGTCAAAAGCCAGGCGACAGAAAAAAAGGCCTGAGCCTCCCAAACCTGAACTGCAGGAACAATCTGGGTTATTCCATATAATTTCAAAAGCCTTCAAGGTCTTAAATAATACAAACCCTAATGCTACCCGCTCCTGTTGGCTCTGCTACGATGTTGCTCCTCCATACTATGAAGGAATAGCTTTTAAAGATAGAATTAAAACAACAACAAATGTCTCTAACTGTCGCTGGCAGCAGCAGCAAGCCAAGCTCACTCGGTCAGCAGTTACAGGGCAAGGAACCTGTGTGGGTAAAATCCCCTCCTCACACAGCCAGCTGTGTAATCAGACACTTAACTTGACTAGGTGGTCGGATGACACCTATCTGTTGCCTCCGCAGAGGGGATGGTGGGCCTGTGCTACTGGAATTACACCCTGCGTTAGCTCAAAGGTCCTGACAGAAACCCAGGACTTCTGTGTTTTAGTTCAGCTGCTGCCTCGGCTCTTTTACCACCCCTACGAGGAACTATTGACATACTGGGATAAAAATAATGGAAACTATCGGACTAAAAGAGAGCCTCTGAGTATCACGCTCTCTGTCCTCCTAGGCTTGGGATTGGGAGCAGCTGGGGCAGCAACAGGAGCTTCAGCTCTAGTTATTCAACATCAAGATTACCAAAATTTACAGGCAGCTGTTGATGCAGATATTAAAGAAATAGAAAGTTCTATCACCAAGTTACAAGAGTCCCTCACCTCCCTTTCTGAGGTGGCCCTGCAAAACAGAAGGGGACTGGACCTCTTGTTCCTTCAGCAGGGGGGGCTTTGTGCCTCATTACGACAAAAATGTTGTTTTTACATTGATCATTCAGGGGTAATTAAAGACTCCACGGCCAAAAGAAAAAGAGAAAGAGAGCAAATACAGGGATGGTTTGGATCATGGTTTAATTCCTCCCCTTGGCTTACAACTTTGGTATCCACCCTGTTAGGGGCGTTAATTATCCTGGTGTTGATTCTAACTTTTGGTCCCTGCATTTTGAATCGTTTGGTGACTTTTGTTAAAAACCGAACTGGTACTGTCCAAATTATGATGCTAAGACAGCAATACCAGGAACTCGATCAGCAAGGGTCAAGTATTTCATGATTGAAATATGCACCAGAAGAAAGGGGGGAAGTTGTTATAAAAACTGTGACTCTAACCCACACTATTGCCTATGTAGCTTTAGCCTGCACAAATTGTAACAGAGAAATATGAACTTTAACCTAACCTGCACAAATTATTCCTGTAAGCACTTACTAACGAGGAAAACATATCTAAAGGTATTTTAAGTGAAGCAGCTTTTAAGAGGTCAGGCAGAAGTCAAGGCAGAACCAGGCGCACATTCCAGGAGACAGCTGGTCCCAAGGACTGAACCAGCCCCCCCTTATCTTCTGAACACCTGGCTGGACCAGGGAAGATAAACATGTAACATCTTTTATGGGGGGGGGGAGGGGGCTAACGGTGCTAGTCTTTTGAGCCTAACCATAAATCTTAAGGCACCACAGTTAATTAACTACACAGCCTGTTATGAGAGTCTGTCTAAGAGAAGAAAAAAAAATGTATAAAAAGCCTTGGCATTGTAAGTTTGGGGCCGCTTATGAAAAAAGCGACCCAGCATATGCTGAATAAATGCCTCTTGCGTTGTTGCAGCAGACTCTCTTTCTCATGGTCTTAGCTAAGCGAGTCACTCCGGCGGGCATAGGATTTGTGCCTAGGGCACGGGTCTTACACTTATTGTGTGTTCACCCCGTTAAAATATAAATTCCATAAGGGCACGAACCTTATTACTCTTGTTCACCACTCTTATCTCATCAAGGTAGCACAGAGCTTGTGCACACTTAGTTTGTTGAAAGAATGCATACTTGAGGACAAGGGCTAATCCTCCTCAGTACCAGGCAGTATTCTAAGATAGGTGTGTATTACTGCATTTAATCATTACAGTAATGGTGTGGAGTCATTATTATCAACCACGTGTTTTCCAAATGAGGGAGCCCAAGGCTTCAAGCCTCACAGATACTGAGAGGCGCCAAGGTTTGCCTCTGGCGGTTGACTGTGGCCCAGCAACGTTCAGAGGCTCCTAAAGAGGGAACAGGAACAGGGCCGAGCAAGTCCCCTACGGCTGCATCAAGTGTTTGCTTCTGAGCGCCTCCTCCATTTCCGTCCCGCCTCCTGGGTCGCACTGCAGGATTGCGGAGGGAGCGGGCAGCGCACATTCCACAGCCAAAGCTTGGAAGACCGAGTCAGCGCTAGCGCAGGGACCTCGTCCAAAGGGCTCCAGGGGCCTGAGCGTGAGGCACGGCCGGAAGCGAGGCCCCGGCAGGCCTGACGCCGCGTCACGCTGTCGGCTGCTCTGGCACCGGTGCGCTGGGGGGAGTCACCCCGGAGCGAGCGGGCTCTGGGACAGCTCCGCTTACGTACTGCACGTGGCCCTTGAATGCGAGCTCGCGGCCCAGGTTCGGGACCCCAGCGGGAAGCGGACCGATGCTGTGACTTTCTTTGAGCGGCAAAGAGATGTAACAGTCACCTAGACCAGGCTGGCTTTGGTTTGAAGTCAATGACCGACAGATAGTAATTGTACACATTCGTGGGGTGCGACAGTTTCCTTTTGTCTCATCTTTCCTCAGAAGCAGAGTGGGCGGGGTTTATCCTCTTCCCCACCCCGCTGGGGATGCACAGGGAGCACGTCTCTGAAAGAAAGGACACTGGCTAAAGGAATGGGTGAAAGTCACCTGTGCAGCGTCTCCCCATAGTCTAACACAGTACAACCCAAAGGGACTGCTGCACATCAGCCCGGAGGTTGAGGCAGTGGCGTTGGGACCACAACCCCAGCTAGCCCGTGGCTGCCTCCTGGACCCTTGGTCTCTCCAAGGGATCCCCAACTTTTTGTTTGCTTGCTTAATTTGTTTTTGTTTTGCTGCTACTGCCTTAAATTTTATTTTAAATCCGTGGCCACAATGGTTCCCTTTAAGAAAAAGAACAAAAGCTTCAGGTAGCTCACATGTAGAGGTAATGGTTTTCATGTTATGTTTAGTGTTTGAAAGGTGTGAGTACATATCTAACACAAAATCGGGAATGTATTTTCTTGTTTAATTGGTACATCCTACTGCCTACTACAAAGTAGTTGCAAAGTGTTTTGGAAGCTCTATGAAAAAAGTGCCTGAAATTTATTCGCACACATCCCGTGGCTCACAGGATCGTAAGAATAAACTTTTGCTTAGCTCTACATTAAAGATTACTACATCTTCTTCACACAGCTGTTTAGATCATTAACTTTGTTGAGAGATGGAAATACTTTTTGTTAGAAGACAAGACATTTCCGAGCATAACGGAAAGTGATGTACAAATTTAAGAGGCCTGAAGTAGCATACAGGCTAATGGCTTTCATTTAGCAAGCATTTATTGAAGCCTGCTAAAGACCAGGAACCAGGAGACTACAAACAAGAATAAAACCATGTGTTTGCAGTCTGGGTGGGGATGTAAAAGAGACAAATATGCATGCTACAACAATAATTGATATGACAGATACTTTATGAACAAAGTAGGAAGAGGAATGAAGGGAAACACATTAACAGGATTGTTTTGCCTATTTGGGGTCTTTTGTTGTTCTATATGAATGTTAGTATTGTTTTTTCTTTCTTTTTTTTTTTTTTTTAAAGATGAACGGTAAGGGGATCTTAACCCTTGACTTGGTGTTGTCAGCACCACGCTCAGCCAGTGAGCAAACCGGCCATCCCTATGTGGGATCCGAACCCGGGGCCTTGGTGTTATCAGCACCGCACTCTACCGAGTGAGCCACGGGCCGGCCCTGAATGTTAGTATTGTTTTTTCTATTTCTGTGAAGAATGTCATTGGCATTTTGATGGGGATTGCATTGAATCTGTAGATCGCTTTGGGTAGTATAGACATTTTCACAATGTTAATTCTTCCAATCTAAGAGCATGGGATATCTTTCCATCATTTTGTGTCCTCTAATTTCTTTCAGCAGTGATTTGTAGTTTCCATTGTAGAGATCTTTCATCTCCTTGTTTAAATTGATTCCTAGGTATTTCATTTTTGAGGTGACTATTTTAAATGGACATGCTTTCTTGAATTCTTTTTCTGGTAGTTTGTTATTGTAGTATAAAAACGCTACTGATTTTTGTGTGTTGATTTTGTATCCTGCAACTGTACTGAAATCGTTTATCAGCTCTAAGAGTTTTTTGGTAGAGTCTCTTTAGGTTTTTCTATATATAGGACTATGTCATCTGCAAACAGGGACAGTTTGACTTTTCCAATCTGGATGCCCTTTATTTCTTTCTCTTGCTTGATTGCTCTAGGTAGTACTTCCAATACTATATTAAACAGGAGTGGTGAGGGTGGGCATCCTTGTCTTGTTCCTGTCCTTAAGGAACATTCAGGATGATATTGGCAGTGGGTTTGCCATATACTGCTTTTATTGCATTGAGATACTTCCCTTCTGTACCTAATTTGCTGAGTCTTTATGGTGAAGGGATGTTGAAATTTTGTCAAATGCTTTTTCTGTGTCTATTGAGATAATCATACGGTTTTTGTCCTTGATTTGGTTGATGTGCTGTGTCACACTTACTGACTTGCGTATGTTGAACCATCATCCTTGGTTCCCTGGGATAAATCCCACTTGATCGCGATGTATAATTTTTTTGATCTGTTGTTGTATTTTGATTGCTAATATTTTGCTGAGGATTTTTGCATCAATGTTCATCAAAGATATTGGCCTGTAGTTTTTTTTTTTGTTGTTGTTGTTGTTGTATCTTTGTCTGGTTTTGGTATCAGGGTGATGCTGGCCTCATAGAATGAGTTTGGGAGAATGGCTTCTGTTTCCATTTTTTGGAACAGTTTGAAGAGAAGTGGTATTAATTCCTCCTTAAAGGTTTGGTAGAATTCAGCAGTGAAGCCATCTGGTCCTGGGCTTTTCTTTGTTGGGAGACTGCTGATCACCGCTTCAATCTCATTGCTTGTTATTAGTCTGTTCAGGTTGTCTGTGTCTTCTTGGTTCAATCTCGGTAATTTGTATGTGTCGAGAAATTTATCCATGTTCCCTAGGTTTTCAAATTTGTTGGTGAATAGTTGTTTGTAATAGTCTGTAATGATTCTTTGTATTTCTGTTCTATCAGTTATAATTCTCCTCTTTCATTTCTGATTTTTGTTATTTGGGTTTTCTCTCTTCTTTTTTAGTTAGCCTTGCCAATGGTTTGTTTTATTTTGTTTATCTTCTCAAAAAAACACAACTTTTCATTTCATTGATCTTTTGTATCATTTTTTTGGGTCTCTATTACGTTTAGTTTTGCTCTGATCTTATTTCTTTCCATCTACTAATTTTAGGGTTGGATTGTTCTTGTTTTTCTAGTTCTTTGAGCTGTAGCATTAGGTTGTTTATTTGAAAACTTTCTGTTCTTTTGATGTAAATGTTTATCACAATAAACCTCTCTTTTAGTACTGCTTTTGCTGTATCCCACAGGATTTGGTATGATATGTCTTTATTTTCATTAATGTCAAGAAATTTTTTGATTTCATATTTAATTTCTTCTTGGACCCATGGGTCATTGAGCAGCATGTTGTTTAATTTCCATGTGTTTGTATAGTTTTGAGAGTTTCATTTGTTATTGATTTCTAGTTTTCATCCATTATGGTCTGAAAAGATTCTTGAAATGATGGCAATTTTTAAAAATTTGTTGAGACTTGATTTATGACCTAATATGTGGTCTATCCAGGAGAATGTTCCATGTGCTGATGAGAAGAATGTATATTCTTTAGTTGTTGGATGAAATGTTCTGTAGATATCTGCCAAGTCCAATTGGTCTAAGGTGTAGTTTAAATCCTGTGTCTCTCTGTTGATTTGTTGCCTAGATGATCTGCCCAATGCTGACAGAGCTGTGTTCAGGTCGCCAACTATTGTCATATTGGGGTCTATCTCTTTTTTTATGTCTAATAGTGTTTGCTTTATATATCTGGGTGCTTTGGTGTTGGGTATATATATATATATATATATATATTAATGATATCTTTTCTTGCTGGATGGATCCCTTTATCATTATATAATGGCATTATTTGTCTCTTTTTATGTTTTTGGTTTAATGTCTATTTTATCCGGTGTAAGAATAGTCCTAGTCCTGCTCATTTTTGGTTTCCATTTGCATGGTATATCTTTTTCTATTCCTTCACTATTAGTCTGTGTGCATTAATACTGGTGAGATGAGTCTCTCGAAGACAGCATATAGTTGGATCTAGCTTTTTAATACAATCAGTCTGTGTTTGGTTTTTTTTGAAGAAAATTTTGTACTATACTTTTATTTTATTTTATTAATGTTATTTTTTTACATTCTATGATGTTGTTGTAGAGCAGTTGGGAGGGAGGGGGAGTGGGGAAAGGGGAAGGAAATGGGATGGAAGAAGGAGGAAGGAGGAGGGGGGGATTGAGGCCGGTGGAACCCCCCATCATTACCACAGGGGAGACAACTGGGCTTCCAGTGGTGTCTTGGTTATTGCTGGTCTGGGTGCAGATGTCAAGGGGCTGTGGCAATAGCCATCAGCGCCACCACCCCAGCTCAGGAACCCAGGGCCCTTCTTTCTGAGGTTTGCTGGTCGTCCTTGGGCTGGCTGAGCATGGGGGTGTGTGTGGCCGAGACCCTTGGCCCTCCACTATGCCAGCTCAGCAGAGCCTGGGGCACCTCCTGCTGTGGCTGGGTGGTCGCCACTGGGCTGGTTGCTCATGCGGGGGAGGCATGGATAAGGCCCTTGGCCCCCCACCACCCAGGCTCAGGAGAGCCTGAGGCATTTCCTGTGGCACCTCAGTGGTTGTCACTGGGGTGGCTGCACATATGGGGGGGTGGCCGAGGTCCTCAGCCCCCATCCTTGGGACTGATTGTGGGTGTCAGAGGGCGTGGCTGAGGACCCCAGGCCTCCCCCCTTTCTGGCTTGGTAGCCCAATGAACTTCCGGTCCTTCAAGGTGTTACAGGTGTTTTTTGGTGAAATGAGACCTTTACTAGTAATCAAACTTTGTCTCTGGTTATGGGTACTTTGTTTTTTCTTTCAGTTCTGTGTTGGATTATTTGCTGTTCCCATCTCTTAAACTCTACACTGGAACTAATTTGTTGTCCTTTGCTCACTTCTAAAATGGGGGAACTTCCTGTGGGGACCAGTACTTGAGCTCTGTGGTTGAGCTAAATTGCTCCTTTGCTGCTGATTCCCTAGGAAAGGCTTTTTGTGCAGCTCAGGTTTTGATGGTTGACTTTATAGGTACTTCCAGATCTGGTGAAATCAGGTGCACCTGGGTTGTATAGAAACACTGGGCTGGGCCTGTGTCTTTTCATCAAACTGCCCCCCTTGCAATTCTATATTCCTGACCAGTCTCCTCTGAGTGGTCCTGCACTGATTGGGGTGCAGATCAACTGTCCTTGCTGTGCCCCAGTGTTCCCCCGGTGGGCGCGTCTCCGCCACCGCCCATGCTGCAAACACTTCCCATGGGATGGACCTCTGAGTGTCTCCTTTTTCTCATTTATTGTGGCTCCT